TGTATAAAAATTTAATATGAATTAATTAAAGCTTAGCTACTCTAATCAAAATGAAGCGTTTTCATTCATTTAAAAAAAGAAATAAACGTAGTAATGATGTATAACGTCAAGCGACTATATTGATATTTTATGCATTAAAATATATGACAATTCACAAGGAATGTGATGTTCAAATCATAGAGATATCATTAAAAATAAATAAATGATAAGAGAAAATAATGTGTACATATTAATTTTTTTTCTTATCGGCCTCAGTGGCGTCGCTAGGGGGGGGGCATGCAGGGGCTCGAGCCCCCTGAAAAGTTTGAATAGTCCCCTGAAGCAAATTTTTTTTTAATGGCTCCTTAATATCCACTTGAACTAAAAATACTTTTTTTTGATAGCCCACTGAATGATTTCTTTTATAATTCCATTAAGTAATATATAGATTTAATTTTATTATTTCGAAATTAATAAGACTATTTAAATTTTTATTAAATGAATACTATTTTATTTATTAGATTAGATTAATACATATAAATTAATTTTCACTATGTCAGCTTGTAAAAAAATATAATATCAATAACTCACTAAATACTAATTTAGCTTTAACTTGAAGTTTAATTGACTTTTATTATTTAAATTATTATATAATCCTAATTAAATATATATAATAATATATTATTTGAATTAACAAATTTAATATTGTAATTAGACGAGTTCAAAATGACTAATCAACTGTATATTTATTTTTAAATTTAATTATCATATCTATTCCTAAAAATATTTTCAAGGTCCAAATTAGTGTAAGAGATTTCTTTATAAAAAGTAAATAAATAGAGATATAGTTTAATACTCTATTATATACAGTTGGTTATAAAATATTAAATAAAATGCCACTTTTATAGACGTATTTGACAATTATAAATTATATTACAGTTAATACTATAATAAATTTTACTAATAAATGGTTTTAATAATAAATATGGTAACAATTTGCATTCAAGTATTTAATGCCATCTATTTAGCTATAAATATATTTAAAAATTAAACATTTTATTATTCATCCTGCAATAGATGTAATAAATTTGATATCTTTTCTTCTCTTTTTTTACGTGTTTTTAAGAAAGCTATGTTTTTCTTTTCGAAAAACAGTTTTGAGTTAAATTTTTAAGTATATTTTTGATATTATTAGAAACTACTATTATTTTAAGATATAATATACTAAGGTGGTGCGACAATATATAAAATCTTAATTGTTTCATCATATCATTCTGACCCTTATTTTATAGTTAGAAAATTAACATTTCTAATATCGCATTGCTGTGTAAATAACTCCAGGCTTCAATATATTTGCATAATTATTTCTGTTAAATATAATTAAAATTGAATATTATAATTTTTGTTTAAAAGGTCTAAAATTGAATATTGTATTTTTTAGTTTAAAAGGTCGGTGATAAGAAAAAGTAAAATGAAATTGTAAAGGACATATGTATTTTGTTTATATGTAAATACGATATTATAAAAAATGTATATAATGACAAGAATTTTGTATATAGATAGATATAATAAAATTAAATTTGAAAATCAACAAAGAGTTCTCCCGTTGCCTTTCACTAAATTAAAATGGTGGCAGAAGACGCTACAAATTATACTGAAACATGGTGAAGCTAGACGAAAGAGGATTATGGAAAATGATTTTAATATTATTCTAAAAAAAACGTAAGAGATGATTAAAATATAAAATTGAATAAAAATATAATAAAATTTTAATGTTGAAATATTTAAAATAAGACAATATTATAAAACGAAATTAATAGATTAATTAGAAGATTATTTAGTAAAAAATTTCAGGATGATGAAATACGATGAGCACGATAAAGGGATGAAGTCGCACGTACATAGATATCAGTGGAAACCGAGATACGATAATTATGAAGATTCGAGACATACAAATAATTATGAACCAAGATATAGAAACAATTATAATCCTAGAGTTTATGATAATGATAGGGGGTATAATGGGCCAGGACCGTATAATAATTTTACAAGATTTAACAATAAAAATAATTAAAACTACGATAACTATAGATATAATAATAATGATAATTACAAATATAATGAAAATAATTATAGATATTATAGACATCAGAACGAATCGAGATACATACCTAGATACAATAATAATCAAAACAATAATCAGTAATACAAGAACAGATTTGACGTAAATAGAATGGATGATGATGACAAGGAAAATGATGATTACAAAGTTACGATATACCTTAACGATATACCGGTAGAGATGCAGATAAATACCGGGTCACGATTTTCTATATTGCCGATTAATATTACTAGAAAGATAGGAATCAAAGTCTTGAATAAATCGGATACGAAACTGACTGGCTATGATGGGAGAGAATAGAGGTGCTAGGAATCGTTAAAATAAAAGTGAGATATGAAGACAAAACTCAAAATTTAGATGCGTATGTAGTCCAAAATGACAATATTGCAATTCTGGGAAGGACATGGATAAAAGTTTTTGGGAACATACTTAATAAAATTGTAAATATAATCGAGGAAAATAGAGAAGTAGATAATAAAAATTATGAAGGTGCATATTACATAAAAAGCATGAAAATTATAAATATCATAATAATAAAAACTTGATTAAAATTGAATTGTGTAAATTAAATGTTAAAAAAGAAATAAATTCTTATAAATTAGAAGAAATAAATCATTTGATAACAATTGAAGAAATAATAGTTATTAAAAACAATAATGAAATAAAAATTGAAGAAAATAAAATAAAAAATTTTATAATTAATAAAAAATTTAAAAAACTTTGGAAAAGAAAATTAAAACAAAGGTGATTAAATATCGTGATGTTGAAAGAGAGATTAGGAGTACGATATGGAGATCGTATGTTGAAAATGGAAGGAGAAAGAGAAATTTTGTTATAAAGAACAAGTTAAAGAGAAATTATGATATAAAAAAAGTGTTTAAATTGAAAAATAAAGGAGTAAAATTTAAAAATAAAAATAATTAAATAAAAAATTATAATATAAAATGAAACAATTCCAAATATTATATTATTCTATATTCCATGATTCTTATTCTTATGATTGATTCTGGTAAAGTATTTATTCCATTATCATTTCAATTATTCCAAAATTATTTTATTTGAAATATATTGATCATAATATATATTTACAAACATTGATAAAAATGATAATGAATAACGAGATGAACAAGCTAGTGTGAAGATGATGTTCAAAAGAATGATTAGATGATAAGGATAACAATCTAAAATTAATGAAAAGATATGACTGAGGCTAAACAACAACAAAATATCAAATGAAAATACTACAAAGGAGAAAAAAATGAGGGGGAAGAAATGAACAAGTTCAAGTTCAAGTGCAACAAAATTTGAAAATTCAAAGTCAAAATTCAAAAAAAAAAATTTCAAAGTCAAACAAAAATACAAGTTCAAAACAGGAAATATGACCTACGACATAGAAAATAATTGTTATAAATAAATAAAATTTTGTAATAAAATATTTATATAAAATTTTGAAAGAGAAATGGGATGATCAATACAAACAGCAAATCAACAAGCAATGTTCAACCAACGACGTTTCAACAATGATGTTCAACCAACGATGTTTCATAATGTTCGATAATCAATTCAACTAACGATAATCAGATGGTCTAATAAACGATCTAAACTATATACTCTCGATGATAGGAAAGAACACTCTAGCTTTCGAAGGAAGAAATTTAAAAAAGAAGAGGAAATGTTAAATATAATTAAAATTGAATATTATAATTTTTGTTTAAAAGGTCTAAAATTGAATATTGTATTTTTTAGTTTAAAAGGTCGGTGATAAGAAAAAGTAAAATGGAATTGTAAAGGACATATGTATTTTGTTTATATGTAAATACGATATTATAAAAAATGTATATAATGACAAGAATTTTGTATATAGATAGATATAATAAAATTAAATTTGAAAATCAACAAAGAGTTCTCCCGTTGCCTTCCACTAAATTAAAAATTTCTTCCAAATATTTTCAGTGTTTTTATTTCAATTTATCCAACATAATAAATTCTATTAATTGTGTTGCTATGTATTTTAAGATTATTACAACAACGACTGAGAGCATATGATTGCATATTTTAGATAATCAATAATGGCCAACTGTGTAGTCGTTTATATATTATTTAAAATGGAAGATAATCTTTAAGAAATTTAATATCTCACGGTAATTTTCTCGATTTCTTATCTTGCTTCCATCATGTCATCTAAAAGGAAGCTCTAACTACCATATATATTTATGATTTGGATTAGTCCTTTATGCTCTCTTCTTCAAAAATTGTTGATTTGGTATAGGCCTATAAAATTTTCCTTATAGTTTATTCTATACATTGTCTAAAATTCTAACAAAGAGTTATATTAGTTTGATAACCTTTAATCAATGTTAGTTGCTAATTATATTATTGCATTATGTGATTTTAAAAACCATTATCAATTGAAGTATATGTATGAATTTTAATCTTTTTTGTCACTTGTAATTCTTCAGACGCAATTTTTTTTATATCAGCAATCGAAAATGCTTTATATTGTAATAAATAGATTTTATATTAAAAAATATTCTTTTTAGAAATGTCTTCTATTGTTTTAATTATATATATGCCCCTTTATTTTGTATGCATAATATAATAAATGACAAAATATGAAATTCAGAATAATTGTTCAGACGCCCCCATAATTTTTTTTTTATTTGAGCCCCCTGAGATTGTATAGGCTGGCGACGCCCCTGATCGGCCTCTTTTTTGATAATTTGGCCTCATAAATCAACATTTTCTAGCGGCCTCGTCAACAAAATGCCCACCTGGTCTTATGGCCAGTCCGCCCCTGATCAGAAATAACCGGGAGGACAGCCTGTGTTCGTGTATAACGTGTGCTCCATTTGAGCAGGTCTTAGACCAACGTGCTATATAGGATAAGAAATATTGTAAATTCAAGGATGGATTTTAACCCTAATAATACTAGAAAAAAATTAGAAAATGTTGAGAATTTTTTAAACAACACGAAAGATAGGTTATTTAATACCTTTGGTATTAATCCTCTGACTACATCTTTGGGAATTAAAATAGGTTAAAAGATATATAAATTTTATAATGATACTATCATATGTTTTGTAAATAATAGATTATTGGTCATCATAATATACATAAATTAACATTACTATGCAAATATAATTATATTTTTTATACAAAATAAATTTTCATATAAAATATTTATTTTAGATATAGCTACTAGTCCTGAAATTGTTGAAGATAATTGGTCTAAATATTTAGAAATATGTGATATTATAAATGAAACACCTGAAGGGTGAAACATACTTCCAATTAATTTATTATATTTTTATCTAATAGGCCTAAAGATGCTTCTAGGGCTATTCGCAGAAAATTATGCATATCAGCAGGAAAATACAATAATTCCATCATACATACTCTCAATGTTAAATTTTTATATTTTGGTTTAGGAAATTTTAATTTTAATATAACCATAATCTCATACACATATCCAAGAATTTCCTAGGTAGGTCATTCTAAGTCAAATCACCCCATTATTTGGATTCCCCCTTTTAAAATAAAAGCAACTTGGTATGATGTATCTATAGGTTATAAATTTTATACAATTTATAAAGTCAAGGCTTAGAACAAATATATACAGATTCATATTTTTTTGAAAAAATTTAATATCTACTTCTCTTCCTTCCCATTGTTTTAAAAAAATTAACCCACCTGCCCACCCAACATTCAAAAATGATTTGATTGGTTGGTTTGCTTATTTATTTTAATTGGGCCTGACCATATTTTAACTTTTGTAAAAATACCTTGGGCCTAAAATTTTTTTTAGAATAATTGGGCCATGTTTAAAATTTTTTAAGAAAAAAAATACCTAGATTGGGCCATATATTTTAAAATGTATTTTAAATAACCAATAAAATTAAAAAAAATATATTTAAAAACAAATCTGGGCCAGGCCTGAAATTTTTTTTAAAAAGTAATCTGGGCTTGGCCTGAAATTATAAAACCAGAGCCAGGTTGGGCTGAAAAGTATTATTTAAAAAAATTTTGGACTGGGTTGAAAATAAAACATCCTGGGCTGTGCAAATGGGACCTTTGCAGGTCTTTGATGATTATGAAATAAATAAATATTATTTAATAAATATAATATAAGCTTGATCTTCTCATTTTGCCTGTAATAAATTTAAATTCACCAGCCCACCTGGTAACCCATTGTTTTAAAAATATTCTCAATGTTAAAAAAAATTTATAAATGTTTTTAACCCACCTACTCTCATGTGCAAATAGTATGAGCAGGCAGGTTTGCAAACATCTATTTCAGAGTCCAATAAGGATATTTTCATCTTTTAACAAATCAAAAATTACCCGAATATTTAGTTTAAAATTACATCACAAATTTTATATATTTTTTAGCCTATAAAAAATTCTTGTTACCCTGCATCCAAAAGATAAAAAAATGAATTGAAAAACTTTTAAAACTTTATTAAAAAACATGAGATTTTTGCACTAGTTACCCAGCCTGTTATATTTATCCAGCAACCCACTCCTGATAAATTTTTTTTACTAAAGTTTCCATCCATCTAATTTTTTAGGCTAGCACATTTTTTATGTCTACCTAATTTTCCACAATGTCAATTAAGGCTCTTATATCTACTCTATGACTATCTATTTCTATATTGACCGTTTTATAAATCAATTGTGTTTTGATATCTTTATTATATATTTGTAATTGTATCATATCAAAATAACGCTAAATTTTTATTTATAAACTTAATATTTTTCAAATAGTTCAAAATATTCATGGAAATAAAAAGAATTTTAATGGCTGGTTGCCAAAATTTTACGAAAAAGTAGGGCTTGCGAGGCCTGACGCATTTATTTTATATACCATTTTCCTGACCCGGCCTAATAAATTTATTGCATGGCTAGGCCCTTTTATAAATTTCTCATTTCGTTGATGTTGAATATTTTTTTAATTATAAAAAAAAAATGATTTATCGTTCATGTTAAATATTGTTTTAATTTTAAATTAAAAAAATATGAAGGTTTTAAAAAAAGATCTAAATGACTTTTATTTTATATTTATATTTCGTTCATCATTTTTCGGAGATGAGGAGTTGAGTCCATGCTCTTCTATAATGATATCAGATGATATATTTACTTAGAAGTTGAAATAAATGATTATATCTAGTAAGGAATTTTATAATATTAATATTGATTGCATTTTATGAAAATTAAATTATCCAGGGGTTATTGTATAGACTATTACCATTGACTGAAACAGCATTTTATGGAAGAATCGATAAAAGTTTTATAGCAATCAAACCTATAGGTTGATACAGACGCCTTTTCATCATATCAGAGGTTGAACATGCTATGCACTTTTCCATATTCCCATTCCCAAAAAGTACTCTTTGATCAAAATTCTGCTAGTAGCTAAAACAACTACAATATCAAGATTGATTTATGCAATTAGGGCATTGACTTTAGTCGTGCCAGTTGATATCTCATTGGTTAGTACAAAATCATGAAATGAGGAGCAAATATGTTTACCGCAATATGAATATTCTGACAACAAATATGTAATTTTGCTATATAGTTCAATTTAAAATATTCTGTTAATCTTTTCTTTATGTAAGGATATCAAATCAGCGGATATAAAAATGCCTTGTAGAAAATTTATATATTGTGATATGATATATGATGGATAATCTTTTTGTAAGTATTCCATGTATTTTTGAAACTTTTCTAATCATATTAAATATTTGGAATTAATTAAAAATATTCCCGGAAATTTTGAATTTCTTTCCCTTCTGGGAAAATTTAAAATTCTCAGAACGTTTCTTCTTTACATTAATTATTTAAATGTATGAACTCAGTTGAGTAAATTTGTTTATGAATTAACACTAATTTCTATTTAGAGCCTTTACGTTAGCCGAAGTTTCATTAAATTTTTGAAAATTTGGATGTGTGTAAATTTTATTTCATCTATTTTATTTCTCCTCGTCTATAAAGATATAGTTGTTTAAAAATGATTAATCATCTTCATTAGAGTCGATATCCGCTAAAAAAACTATAATTGAATGTGAAATTATTAGAAGAGGTTTTGTAACTAATTATTTATAAGGCGAATAAGTCAAATATATAAAAATGAGTTGATTATTTTAATTATAAAAGGAAATGAAGGAAGAGATATATTATATATTTATCAGAGGTAGTACACGCCTGTAATCCTAGGACTAATTTTTCAACAGCTAAGAGAAAGGCATGAACGTCTCATATATCATTGCTTGTAAACTGGATTGAATTGAAGCTTTTAATAAAATTGAAAATTCTAAGATTATAATTCAATAATTTTAGGATCTTTAATTTTTCAACAGCCACGAGCAAGGCATGTACATCTCATATATTATTGCTTGTAAATTGGGTTGAATTTAAGCTTTTAATAATAAAGTAAAAATATTCAAAAAAGTCGGAAATCAAAAGTCAACTAAGAAAAGTAAAAGTAAAAAATCTCCATAATTGTTTTGCCTATAATATATCCTAAACATATTATTTACTTAAATAATATATAAAAAAATATCTTCTGTATGCATAATAATAATTCTTCTAATTTTTCATTAATTCCATTATAAATTTCTTGAACTCTCAAAATATTTATATTACTCTCGATAAATATGCAAACTTCAGAAAAATTCAGACTAATTTAATTTAAAAAATAATAAAAAAGAGTAACATTTACTCACAACCAAATTTTTAAATAAAAAATATGATTTATTTTATGCACCGCACTTTACATCAGAGAGCTGCAGTGGTACCATTTGCACGGTCCGTATTTTTTATAAAAAAATCTTTGGCCTGGCCCAGGTTTGAATTTTCAGGCCTGGCATAGATTTTTTAAAATAAATTTTATTTATTTTTTATTTTTATAGATAACAATAGCTATTTAAAATATTTGGTTTTAAAATATTCGGCCTGGCCAGGGTATATAAAAAAAAATTTTTTTGGCCCAGGGCGGGTATAAAAAATTTAAATATTGGGCCGGGCCTGCAAGTCTGCTTTATATTTTAAAAATTAAAATCAAAGGAGCGGATATTAAGCGGTACTCTAAAACTCAAAAGCCGGAGTGGAAGCTAGCTCCTTTTGAAATGGCGGGAGAGAAATAGTTCCCTTTAAAGAGGAGCGTTAACAACTCGATTAATTTTTATGAGAATAATTGGGTTTAAAGTTTTACTTGATAATCATAAAAGATAATTACATAAAATAGTAAAATATAATTTTTTTTTTAAAATTACAATTGATACAATAATTACTTGATGTTCCTTACACATTGATTTTCGCATAAGTGACAAGAAATGTCATCTTACGCTTACTTGATAATTGCCGGCCTGATTTTTCGAATATTATTTTATTTTATCTGTTTCCACGTTATCTTCAATTTCAGGAATACATCGCTTCAAAGTCATGATATTTATGGATAATTTAAACAATTAGTCATATTTTCAGGTAGAATTAAGCCAAAATTATATGATGAAATTTGATTTAACCGTTTTATATGTCTTTATATATTATAAGAATTAGGGATGCACCGATACCACTTTTTGGACGCCTATCCCATCCGATATTCCCTATATTAAATTGATATCGGCCGATTACCGATTCGAAGTCATATCTAATTTTGTATTTTTTAAAAATACCAATGGTTTTAATTTTTAATATACTTTTTATTAGTATAACATCTATAATTTAACTTTTTTTTGACCTTTTAATAACAAAAAATTGTTCAAATATGAATTTTTAAAATAACATAGGTCTAAAAATGTCCGAATAAAACATAGGAAGAGATATCTATGAATCCCAACGAATTCCATATTCCAATACGATATATATATATGACATATATATAATTATAAAGTTTAAAGGAGAGATATAACTTGATTGTAATGAATTTTTTACATTTAAGTTACTGGACAGTTGCGTCAAAAATTGCGGCCACAGGTTTCATGTTTACATAGCAACAAGGGAATTTTCCAGAGATTTGATCAAAATTCTCAATCCCAAATTTAATCCCTCATTCGCTATTCAACAAAGGATTCTTGCACTCATACAGGTATTTACACATATGTCCGGAAAGATTTCTGGCTAATTTAGGTTTCACTTATCATTGTTACTATTAAAATATGTTTTAAAACATTTGTTCAGAGCTGGGCTAGAGCCTTCACAGATTTTCCCGACCTGCAGGGGGTTGTTCAGATGGAAATTGAACTCAAGTCCAAAGGCATTGAAGTACCTTTGGCCGATACCGGTTGCATCTATTCAGTCCAGAAAACGAGCATTGATAATTACAATCAATCGATCAATAATTTAGGAGAGGCTTGTACCCATTTGGTTGGAAATGTAAGTTTTTAAACAATTTATAATATTGATACATGAACATCTCTTAGGCCATGTCCTGGTTCAACTTAATTTGATACTTATTAGGGATTTTGAACTAGGACACCCTATTTTTGATTTAAGTCTGTACATTTTAAAAAAAAGTAAAATTAATATCCATCCAATAGTCAACTTTTTTTTGAGTGAATTTTTGTTTTTAAAAGAATCAAAATGTATTTTTGTTTAATAATTTTAAATATACAATATATAATATATATTTTTGTAAAGTTATTTGTTATGCTTAAACATACGCATTGTTTTTTTTATCGTGATAGAGTGAGTAGACTAACAAACCAGACCTTGAAAAAATTTGAAGATTTTTTTCGCTCAAATTTTGAGCAAAAATTCTTTGAAGATAAAAATTTAAGATTTTTTTTATTTAAAAATCCTGTGGGATTAAATCTCTTGGGTTTTTTAGATTTTTTTGGATTTATTATTTTATGAAATTTGATGTAAATAATTATTCTCTATTATTACACGCTACACCAATTAAAGCGAAAATTTTATAATACTCATTTTTTTACTCTCTATATAAATCGAAAGAAGTTAACAATTTTTTCCTCAAATTTATTAATATTTTAAGTTTTCTGGAGTATACTAACTAGAATACACAACGCACATATAAAAGTAAAATATATTCATTTTTTATTTTATTCTCGTAAATTTTTTTTTTTTTTTCTCTTTAGCTTTCACCTTTTCTGGCGGTAAGCTCCTTCAACATCTCTCTCCACTTTATGTTATTCATACAATCTCTTTTATCTATTTTATACTTCTTTATATTGGCTCTAACTTTATGGCCCCATTGAAGTTTTGGCCTTCCTCTTTTACGTTTGCCCATCACTTCAAACTTTCAACTTTATTTCTTATGTAGTTCATAGGCCTTCTCATTGTGTGCCCATACCACCTAAGTCTGTTTACCATTAACTTAGCCTTAATGGGCACTACCTTTAAACTATTTAGTATTCTTGTACTGCGCACCTTATCCTTTCTTGTTACCCCAGCAATCATCCTCAGCATTCTCATCTCCATAGTTTGTAGACTTCTCCCGTCTGATTCTTTGGTTGGCCATGTTTCCGAACTATATAGAATAGTTGGTTGTACTATGGAACTGTAGATTTTTCCCTTTAATTTGTGTGGGATTCTTTTGTCAAATAGCACTCCAGATAAAGATCTCCACTTTAACCACCCTTGATTAATCTTATTCTTTATCTCTTTTTCTATTGTGCCGTTTGTTTGTATAGTGGAGCCCAAATATTTGCAGCTTTTAATTGCGGATATCTGCCAATCATTTATATCAATACTCTCCGTTTCATCTCCTCCTATCACCATATACTCCGTCTTTTCTCTATTTACTTTTAATCCGTGCGTTTCTAGGATATTTATCCAATTCACTAACCTTTCTTTCATTTCATCCTTGGATTCGGCAAGTATCACAATATCATCTGCAAATATCATATTTCACGGGACTGTTTGAGGTATAGACTGTGCTAATACATCTATTACTGTAATGAAGAGAAGTGGGCTGAGAGCCGACCCTTGATGAACTCCTTCGGCTATTGTGAAACCTGCTGAAGTACCTGTTGTGCTACGGACCATTGTTGTATGTCCCATATACATATCCTGTATTATTCTTATATATTTTTCGGGAACTTTTTTGTGGCGTAGCGCCCACCAGATAAGTTTTCTTGGGATTCTATCGAAGGCCTTTTCTAGATCGAGAAAGACCATGTGTAGCTTTTTGTTCTTTTCTCTGTATTTTTCACTCATTTGCCTAATTGCATGGATAGCTTCGGTTGTTGATCTTCCAGGCATAAAGCCAAACTGTGTCTCTCCTATTTCGATTATATCTCTTAATCTTTTTTCTATTATTTTTTCGTATAGTTTTAGACAGTGTGACATTAGTTTTATGCCCCTGTAATTTTGACAATTGTGTGGATCCCCTTTATTTTTGAAGATAGGAACTAGATAGCTCTTCCTCCATTTTTGGGGAACCTCTTCATTTCCAAGTATTTTATTGTACAGATTTGTGAGGAGATGTATTCCATCATCTCCTAGTGCTTTAAGGCTTTCTATTGGAATATCGTCTGGACCCCTAGCTTTGTTGTTTTTCATATGCTTGAGGCATGTGATTATTTCTTGTTCCGTTATAGGTTGTACAAGGTTTTGACAAGGGGAGTGTTCATCGAGATGCAATATGTGGGAATTAAAGTTGAGAAGCTCCTGAAAATATTCTTTCCATCTATTCATTATTTCTTTTTCCTTTATTATCAATTTCCCATCTTTATTTTTGATTACTTTCGGAGCTCCGTTTATATCCCTAGAGTTCTTTTCTCGCTGTTTGGCTAATCTGTATATTTTATTTTGCCCTTCTTTGGTATGTAGATCTTCGTACATGTCATCGTATGCCATAGATTTGGCCCTAGCCACCTCCTTTGTAGCTAATCTCTTGGATTTTTTGTATCTTGACTTGTCATCTGCATTTTTGGATTTGTACCATATTTTATAAAGGGCTTTTTTCTCCTGTATAGTGGTTTGTACCTCTTGATTCCACCACCATAGTTCTTTGTGTGATTTGTTGCCTCCTCTTGTCAAGCCTAGCGTCGATTTTGCAGTGTCTATTAATCTGGATGAAAGGTCTGTCCAGATTTTTTCACTGACTTGTGAGCAATTTATTGTTTCAATGTTTGCATTGATTGCAAAGGCATCTGTCATTGTTTTTAATTTGCCCCATTTGATGCATGGTTCCAGTTTTATCTTATTTTGAGGATTTATTTGAGATTTGTAAATCCATGATTAGTAGCTTGTGTTGTGCGGCGATATCTTCTCCTGGGATGACTTTGCAGTCTATTACATCTTTTAATCTTCTGCGAGAGATTAGCATGTAATCTATCTGTGTTTTCCTAGTACCACTTTCATATGTTATTAAATGACTGTCTTTTTTCCTATAGTAGGTGTTGGTCAAGGCAAGGTCGAAGGCTTGCGCAAATTTCAGTACGTGCTCTCCTTCATCATTTCTTTCTCCGTATCCAAAACCACCATGATGCCTTTTGTAGCTATCTCTTGCTTTCCCCACATGCGCATTTAAGTCACCACCAAGACTAGGTCATCCTTAGGGATTTCCATTACAGCTTCATCAAGGATAGCTCTAAAGTCATCTTTCTCTTCTTCCTTGCAACCCGTTTGAGGAGCATATACTGATAGGATGTGTAGTATTGATTGACCAATGCAGAGTTTTATCTTCATTAGTCTATCAGAGATCCTGTTGACTTCTACTATTGAAGAGGTTAGGTCTTGGCTGAGGATGATGCCGACACCGTTCCTATTGCTAACAAGTATAGTACAATTTATACCCATCTCCAATCATCAAAGTTTTCTGTCCTTTCCATTTCGTCTCTTGTATACACGCTATATCAACTTTTCTCTTGTTCAACATTGATGCCAATTCTTTCGTCTTACCTTTAAGCGTCCCAATATTCAAACTTGCTAATCTTGTTTTCTTTGCTTTGACCTTTACTTTATTTTTCACAGGATGGAGGTCTACACCCTGCGCGTCGCATGGAGGGAACGCCCTAGCTTTCATATTCATATTTTCATTTGTGTCCTTCATTTGTTTGGACAGGTATCCTTAGCACCCGGCTGTCCAGGCCTGTCGGTGACCGGGGTGTCATCTCTAAGCTCTGAAATTCATCATACCATATGTCTTTACACATCAGTCATCGAAGAAAAACTTGAAAGTTTTTATGGTTCTTACCAGGATTGAACCAGCGTCCTTGTTCATACTCGTGTTTCCAAGCCTACATCTTACCCATTAGGCCACCCCGGCGATATTCTCGTAAATTATAAATTGTATAAAATGATATACAAATACAAAAAAAAATTTGTCGCACCCAACTTTCGTAATGCTCTTACATCCTGGTAATTTGCACCTAAGTTGAGTTAATACCTTTATTTCGTTTACACAAGACATCTGCTAGCGTCATATCAAATATATATTAAATGCTACTTGGTAATAGCATTTTCGGAACCTGATATGAATTCTATATAGTGCTAATAGGAAATCTATAAGATCCACTCTGCTTGTTTTTAGTGTAATTTTTAATAATGGTTAGACATTTCACCTTAATGATTTCCCTTTTTTTGGATCAAATCGTTTCACGTCTGATATTGGGTGGGCCCCTTTAAAGCTGCTCATTAGATAAATGGAACGACTGTCAAACATATTGATAACAGATAAAACTGCTTCATTGGTCACCGTTTTTTTAACAAAACTTCCTCTTCTTTTTTTTTATTAAATTATCGGCAAAACTTAATTTTTGAGGCAATTTGCCTAAATTGTATCCCCCTTTGCGCATATAACTAGTAAGTTTATGCTTGAGAACCAATTGTCAAAGCATAACTTGAAATTTTATTGCAACGGAACGCTACAACCATGTGTATAACTGAATTCCCACAAGCCCCGATATCTGACATCCCATATACATTTCATAATTATATTTAATACCATCATTTCCACATTATAAAAAGAATTTAAAAGCCCACTTTTTAGGTTGGGGTTGTATTGTTTTATCTTACTTCGCCCTTTGAACTCATTGACACAGATTTTCTCCTTGCGTAATTTTTTTTTGAAATATCTGTTGTGTTCGTCAGCATAGGTCATATTTTATGAAGAACATTATTCCTTCAGTCCAAATAAGGCATGCTTTCTTATTGCTATTTAGGTGAAAACATGATTTTATGAACTCCCACATTTTTTACTGGCATAATATTAGCCACATTCGCTACTCTAGTATTAGCTGTTCACTATAAACTAGCTCTTGGCAGATTTATGCTTATATAGATCAGAATTTCTATGAATTGTTCTAATTCATCTAGCTTTAAATTAAAGAGCCTGCTTATATCTTTTTGAATTGCATATAGATTAGATTGTAATACTATTAGTAGTGGAAGTATATTTACCTGTAAAA